ATGTTTAGTGATATACTGTCAGCCCAGATTCAGCCAAATGCAGCAAAGTTGATTGGACGGCGCTTCACAGTACAGATGGACAATGATCCAAAACACACTGCAAAAGCAACCAAGGAGCTTTTGAAGGAAAAGAAGTGGAATATTTTGCAATGCCGAGTCAATCACCTAATCTCAACCCAACTGAGCATGCATTTCACTTGCTGAAGGAAAAACTAAAGGCAGAAAGACCCACAAAGAAAAAAGAAGACAGCTGCAGTTAGAGCCTAGCAAAGCATCAGAAAGGAAGAAACCCAGTCTTTGGTAATGTCCATGGGTTCCAGACTTCAGGCAGTCATTGCCAGTAAAGGATTCTCAACAAAATATTAAAAATGAACATTTTATTTATGATTATATTAATTTGTCCAATTACATTTGAGCTCCTGAAAATGGAGGGATCGTGTATAAAAATGGTTGCAGTTCCTAAAATTTGTACTTGATATTTATATTAAACCCCTTGACTTAAAGCTGAAAGTTTGCACTTTACATTAATTTGGATTGTTTCGTTTTAATTTATTCTGGTGGCATACAAAGCCAAAAATATGAAAATTGTGCATGTGTCCAAATATAAATGGACCTAACTGTATATTATGCCAAATCTGAATCTGTGAAAGTGCATGAAGAGGATCCGAGGGGGAAAAAAAAAAGCACTGTGTGACCTCATATGCTATTAAAAGGTCAGAAGAGGAGGTGAGCAAATGGATTGAATACGTGGTGGATTGCACGTTCTCCACTTGGTAGTGAAAACGTCATATGACATGGTCAACTGACCGAAAGAGAGAAAAGGACATTGCACAGGATTGTGACCTGGAATAAGAAAACAACTGTGGTGGCTGCAGAGCTCAATCCCAGTCTTCACAGGACTGAGCAAAAGAATGTTACATCACTTCCGCTTTCAATGCAAAACATGTCATCAATCTTTCACACCTGCAAATTATGTAGAGTTTCCATTTTTTTTTTGTCTAACCCCTGTATGATGGCACTCTAAGATTGTCATCCTTCCTGTGTAGAGAGACTTCAGTCCACCAATACAATACTGTTAGGGGTGTATATTGTTCGTGAGAGACTGTCTGAGTCATCGAGATGAGGGGTGTGTTTAATATGTAAACGTTAAGCATCAACCCTCCCCCAAAATCTGTTTTTTTTCTTTAATCCAAGTAACAATAAAGTCACAAGTTCTTTTTGAATTTCTAATGTAATACACTGAGTCATTACAGAATGATTATCATAGAGCAACACAGTCGTCAAGGTTTGTGCAAAATGGATTCATTAGAGGAAATCATTTTTTGTTTATCATCGTAGAACCCACATAGTTCTGCTATGCAAAGACGGTTATCTTCATAACAACAAGGGGAGGGCAGTCTTGAGGATAAAGCTTGTTATATAAAAAGCTGTTGGGTGTATACTCTGCATAGCAGCCAATTCAGATCTATGGGGTCCTTTGCGTTAAGGCAACGCATTCACTTTAATAGGCTGCCAATGCAGCCAAACAGACCAGAATATGGACGTGCACCATTTTTCTGATGCAGTACACCACAATGCATGGTACTACACTGATGTGGCATTGAAAATGAGTGCTACCACAGCGCACCAACTCCTGCCTGGTGTGTGCTGATAATGCACTGCAATGGAAAGGTCTGAATGGGCCCTTGTAGTATGTAAACTATACGCAAGGGCACTGAGAAACAATTGTTTTCAATGTGCCTTTTTCACACCATAATGTTGAGTTGAGGGACGTTTCTTGCGCTGCATAAAAATGCAGAATGCCTGCTTTTTTGCATAGTGCAATACATGACACCATGGGAGCTATTTACTAAAACTTCATGGTGCAAAATCTGGGGCACTTCTGCATAGGAACCAATCAGATTCCAGGTTTGTCAAGGCTTATTTGAACAAGTTGAAGTTAGAAACTGATTGGCTACCATGCACAGCTGCACCAGATTCAGAGTGCTTCAGTATTAGTAAATATACCCCCATATGTCACCACACTGCAAAGTGTCCTAATACCTTGTGATTTATTGAATGAAGTGTTATTCTGTGAAATCTAAAATAAAAAACCCCACAATAAGATGCATAGTAACAATGCATCACACCTTCCCTACATAACACACACCAGCATGCACATGGTATAATGTGCAGACTGGTGTGAATGAGCACTTAAGAGACAGCAACACTAGAATTCCAGACTCACCCAAAGCAACTGAAGGCCCCAAAGTGGGTGTCTTCCATAAAAACGACAAACCAAACGATCGAGAAAATACCAAACCTACATATGCACTGCTCAATAAAATTAAAGGAACACTTTAAAAACAGATCAGATCTCAATGGAGAAAAATATCATGCTGGATAGGTATACTGATATGGACTGGGTAATGTGTTAGGAACAGAAGGATGTCCCATCAGTTGATGGAAATGAAAATAATCAACCTACAGAGGACTAAATTCAAAGACACCCCAAAAATCAAAGTGAAAAAATTATGCAGCGGGCTAGTCCATTTTGCTGAGATTTCATTGCAGCAACTCAAAATGGCACTTAGTAGTTTGTATGGCCCCCACGTGCTTGTATACATGCCTGACAACGTTGACATGCTCCTAATGAGATGATGGATGGTGTCCTGGGGGATTTCCTCCCAGATCTGGACCACGGCAACATTGAGCTCCTGGAAAGTCTGAGGTGCAACCTGGCAGCGTCGGATGGCCCAAAACATGATATCCCAGAGGTGTTCTATTGAAGTTAGGTCAGGCGAGCGCGGGGGTCATTCAATGGTTTTAATTCCTTCATCCTCCAGAAACTGCCTGCATACTAATCGCCACATAAGGCCAGACATTGTCGTGCACCCGGAGGAACCCAGGGCCCACTGCACCAGCGTAGGGTCTGACAATGGGTCCAAGGATTTCATCCCAATACCTAATGGCAGTCAGGGTGCCATTGTCTAGCCTGTAGAGGTCTGTGCGTCCCTCCATGGATATGCCTCCCAAGACCATCACTGACCTACCACCAAAACAGTTATGCTGAATGCGGTTACAGGCAGTATAACGTTTTCCACAGCTTCTCCAGACCCTTTCACACCTGTCACATGTGCTCAGGGTGAACCTGCTCTCATCTGCCAATTCTGCTGTTCAGTGGCAAATGCCAATCAAGCTCTATGGTGCCGGGCAGTGAGCACAGGGCCCACTAGAGGAGGTCAGACCCTCAGGCCACCCTCATGAAGTCTGTTTCTATTTGTTTGGTCAGAGACATTTACACCAGTGGCCTGCTGGAGGTCATTTTGTAGGGCTCTGGCAGTGATCATCCTGCTCCTCCTTGCACAAAGGAGCAGATACTGGTCCTGCTGATGGGTTAAGGACTTTCTGCGGCCCTGTCCAGCTCTCTCAGAGTAACTGCCTGTCTTCTGGAATCTCCTCCATGCTCTTGTGACTGTGCTGGGAGACACAAAAAACCTTCTGGCAATGGCATGTATTAATGTTTCATCCTGGAGGAGTTAGACCGCCTGTGCAACCTCTGTAGGGTCCAGGTATTACCTTGAGCTACCAGTAGTGACACTGACCCTAGCAAAATGCAAAACTAGTGAAAAACAGCCAGAAAAGATGAGTAGAGAAAAAAAAATGTCAGTGGCCTCCACCTGTAAAACCATTTCTGTTTTGGGGGTTGTCTCATTATTGCCCATCTAGGGCACCTGTTGTTAATTTCATTAACACCAAAGCAGCTGAAATTGATTAACAACCCCCCTCTGCTACTTACCTGACCAGATCAATATCCCAGGAATTTGATTTAATGCTATACTCTGATTAAAAAGTGTTGCTTTAATTTTTTGAGCAGTGTATACGGAAAGAGCATTTTCTCTTAAATGAATAATTAAACACTCTTCCAAGACAGTGCAAATTGCATTCTGTTTATGCTTGCTCTATTGAGGTTGTGGCATGTGTGACTGACAATGGTAGCTGCCTGATTTTACTACTTCTGTTTAGAAGATGAGTGGTCAGATGAAGGCCATTGCTTAACAATGTAACAGTAAAGGTGCAGCTAAAAACAATAAATAAAATGGGTCGCAGAATTTTATGAGCATGATGTGTATGACTGGGACTCGAGTGTGCCACCTGCTGGACAGAAATTGTATCAGATTCTTATCTGAAAAGGTTTACAGAACCTATGATATACAGCAGTCTGTCAGCATGATAGGATCATGTAATCCTTTAGATCAGATGTCTGTTAGGCAGTCTGTCATTTTATTTACGTATACCTGCATATTTCTAAGATCGTTTTAAATTTAAGAAAAAAAAAAAAAAAATAGACTTTACAACTGTTTTAATTTTTAAGCCATGTTAGTTACAGAATGTTGAATGTGGCTTGTCTGGAGTCTTATTTTGCTGTAGATCATGGAGATAACTCAAGCCCCCCTATCATTTTGGAGTCCACTCATGAATTCAGGTACAGGCTGACAATTACTTTTTATTGAGTTCCCAATCAATTATGAAAAGTTTCAAAAACCATCATATCCAAGTACTAGAACTATAAACTGAAACCTTTTGAAGGAAATTAGCAACTTACAGTGTATACTTATTTTCATTATCCTCTGGCATGGCTATGAACCACTGGTATGCTGTCAAATGACAATCAGAGGCTTTTCAAAAAATATACTGAAAACTATTTTAGAAAAAAAAATAAATTACATATAAAATATCTATTTTAGGTGACTGAAGTTATTCTAAATATCTTTGGAAAAATAATAATTTTACATGTAAACTATAAAATATCTTACAACAAACAAAACAGGTGTCCACATTTCTAATATAAAAAATAAAAGCTTGACCATAGTGCTTGCTGCGAAGTCGGAGGCTTACGCACCAGAGAAAAGGGACTAACAGATGACTATCAACCCGAGACCTCAGGCTTCTTCTGGAATAGTGGATTGCAAAGGGGTTCTCCGTGGCAGCAGCAGTTAGTTTACGGTTCACAATCACACTTAATTTTCATCGTTAATAACATATGCCAAGTCCAAAATCAGTCCTGCTGTGTCCACAGCCACTTTCAGTCCATTGTATTTTCCAGTGAAACTATCCACAACCAGTGGCTCTCTGTTCACGAATAACGGAAATACATCTGTATGGTTTCGTGGACTGAATGCTTTGTGGGAACTGCCTAGCATGCTCCACTCTATGACATCAGTCTTTCCAAGTAACTGACAACCACACTTCTGTTTAGTCTCTATACAATTGAAGTCTAGAGTAGAATTAGGAGGAATGGACCAGAAGTGACCATCCTGAAGATCAGTAAGAGTGTCTCCACCATCATGTTCCAGACTTCGTGCTGCTGATTCTAAGCAAGAAGAGAAGCAGTCTGACACCAGTTTATACTCTGCCACAGAGCAGTTCTGCCCTTCCAGATGGCTGCTGTGGATATTGGCACTCTGTAACAAGACAACATTGCTGTATTAGGATTCTTAAGCAATTTGGTTAGAAAAATGCAGAACTTCAATACTTCACATAAGTACCAGGGAAAGGTGAAGTGTTTGTATGATTGTGTTTTTTTTTAGTTTTGTGACACCTATGTCTTTTTGTGCTTTGGGTGGAGCATATGTATTACAGCCAATTGCTGCAGGACTGCCATCATGATCTTGGGCTTTTCTAGAAGGTCACAGACAAGAAAGACATCCCTCCCCCTTAAATATGTCTATTTAGACGAAACGCGCAGGGTGGAGCCTTAGCAGTGACGTTATCATGCTCACCGGTTGGCTGAAGCTGCGTTTACATGCATGTCTCTCAATTATATTTGCGAGTACCCTTTTCTTTATTTAATAAAAGATTTTAAGGATACTACACTGTTTCCTTGTTCTGAGCTGGATGTTGATCACCTTTGCTGAAAAAGCCAACTATAACCACCAGTCTGATTCATTGGAGAAATAGCGTGCTAATTCATCTCTACCTCTACAAACCTTGGGGCCTGCCTTTCTGAGAAGAGGCTTATTCAAATAAGGTGGTGGAGCACTGAACACTTGAGGAGGGCGTTGAATGTTTACCTTCGACTGTTTCAGGGACTTTATTCACGTTATACAGAGCGTGACTTAACTTTAACATTTACTTTGCATTACAGCACAACACAAATTTTTTATATAAGGAACTTATTAGATTAGTGAAGCCACAGATACAGAGAATAGGTGAACAATAAGAAAAATTGAATTCAAGGCATTAATGGCTACCGCTTCACTTCTAACCTGGTAGGTTGCCATTAAAATATCATAGTAATTCTGTTGACTGTTTGAATGGGATATTTCCCAGTTTCTCCTTTAGGGACCAATTAGCAGCTGTGAGCTGAGAGACCAGCTGACATTTAGCCCTGGTTCACAAATGTGCGGGTGGTGCTGCTGCGGATCCGCACGAAAATCCGTGCAGCCGCTCCACCTGCACAGAGGAATGAGGACCCATGGGCGGGTGCCATTACTTCTAATGGCACGCCGCCCGCACTGGAAAACGCAACGTACTGGGAACTTCGGTTGCATTTTCAGTAGAAGGGCAGGGACTTCTTCCCTGCGTGTCATGAGGCACAGGAGTCCATTCAAATGAATGGGCTCTCGTGCCCGTGCAAAACGCAGCCCGCACAGCCGCATATAAGTGAACCAGGGGTTAATACTTGCTATGCATGTACTGACGTAAATGGTCTTAATGGTGATGGTAAATGTAGTCCCTCTGCAGGCAGTCATGTGACTTTTTCATCATGTTTACAGTGCACACCCTCCTGACCAAACGTTTGGGAAAGAGGCAGAAGGAGGATGCAACTTGTCACCATCTAAAAAATAAGTGATTAGGGACACGTTAAAAACTACAAAAAAAAAAAAAAAAAAAAAAAAAAAAAACACATTCTCGAATATGTTCACAAGATAGACCGAAATAAAATGTTAAAAATAGGAGGGCTTAATACTACTTTAATGATTAGGCAACTGGAATAAATTGTGTTTTTTAAATCTTTGCCTGGGCCTTGTAGGAAGGATTTTTTATTCCTGAAGACATATGCTAGATCTCTTCTGCAATAAAGGCTTTTTACCTTACTGCCTGCATGCTTCTTTTGTGTTTTAAGCTGTGCATGAGCATTCATTCCATCTGCCGAGTGCTGGGATGAACACCAGTGTGCATGCGAGTTATGTCACTCCAGGCCTGCCAATTAAGAAGGCAGAATATGCCGGACCAGAGAAAAAAAAAACAGGTAGGAGATGTCGGCACCGACGAGGGAGCTTGCGGATGTCGCATCTCTGGAGTGGAGGTGAGTATTGTTCCCCTTTACAACGGCATGTTGCCAACAATGTTAGGTTTATGTTTATACAGCAAAGGCTTTTATCATTAGGAATAATATTACCATACCTTATAGCGGACATAAGCAGCCAAATGTGTTTCGGTGCAGCCACCTCCAAGAAGCAGCCGGGGATCCTTAAGCAGTTGATTTAATGTATGTTCTGCAGTCTGATAAACTCTCTTTAACAAAAAGAAAAACGTATGTTTAGTTTCTGACATAATTACATGCTGCACATTATTTATTCAGTCAGTATTTTTTCCCTACAAAATTGCAGAGCAGGATGTATTTATTAATGAAGAAAAAAAAAAAAAGTTGGTGCTGTTCAAACAAAATCACCTTTCTTAGGGCACATTGCTCTGACAGGTTCCTGCACGTGTACTAACTTACTCTACTTTGACCATTATTGTGTGTTGTGCTAGTCAGCCCCTTCATTTTGAGGGGCTGAAAATGCATATTTTAACAGGAATGCACTATTATTCAATTATTTTTTTTTGTACACAGCGCACAACAACAAAAAAAAAAACGATTCACATGTGTTGCAGTGTGTTACAAAACAATCGTGTTGTGGGTGTGCTGCCTAGGTTGTGAAAAAAAGGTGTTAAAATGAGCTTTTACTGCAATGTATGTAAATACGCACAATAAGTGCGGTGACTTTCGTTTTAAATGGTATAACAATACAGTAGTTGTGTGCCTTAACGTGCCCAGACTAGGAACATAACGGATGGACATATTCTTAACAAGCAGTAAAGGCTTTAAAACAAGTCATCTCTGACCTATCCAGCTGCTTGTTCTGTGAAGTATTTCATCCCAGTTGCAGACGGCCCCATGCAGATATTCTGTTGCAGGGAGGCCGCTCTGGGCTGGATCACGTATCGCATACGTGATCTGGCTCTTCCGGGCACTTGGTGCCTGCTGCCCCAGCTGTGCTGTGATTCATTACAGCACAAGCTAATCAGCGGGTTCCGGCCAATGATTTATGCTGGGACCCACTGATCGTGGAATGGATGACAGAAGAGAGCTCTGTGGTTGTAAACAAAAACCCAGCACATCCCTTAGTAAAATCAGCATGCAGGACACACTTAACACTTGTTAGACACACAGCTAACCCTTTGATTTCCCCTAGATGTTAACCCCTTCCCAGTCAGCGTCATTAGTACAGTGTCAGTGTATATTATTAGCACTGATCACTGTATTAGTGTGTCACTGGTGATGTCAGGGTCATTTAGTCAGTTCCCACACAGCGTCAGTTAGCGTCAGATTGCCTGCCATACTATCACAGTCCCACTACAAGTTGCTGATCATCACCATTACTAGTACAAAAAAAAAAAAAATCCAGTATATATCCCATAGTATGTGGACGCTTTAACTTTCAAGCAAACCAATTAATATACACTTATTGGGATTTTTTTTTTTACCAAATATATGTAGCAGAATACATTTTGGCCTAAATTTATGAAGAAATTAGATTTTTTTAATTTCTTTATTGGATATTTTTTTTATAGCACAAAGTAAAATTTTCAGTTTTTTTTCTAAGTTGTGTTTTTCTATTTGTGTGGAAAAAAAAATTATATAAATGTCATTTGGATACAGTGTTCAATGACCAAGCAAATGTCAGTTAAAGTAGCGCAGTACTAAATAGCAAAAAATGGCCTGTCATGAAGGGGGTAAAACCTTCTGGAAGGCAAGTGGTTGTATATCACAACAGAGACTCCAAAGTCAGGTTTAAAAAACGCTTGGCTGTTTCTAACAGCTTAGGAACATCTAGTGTTTGTTTGCATTACAAGGCTACCAGGCTGCCATGATCTGCTCTGTGCTTCAGCGCATACTTCTGAATGTATTTAAAGTAGAATTCCAGGTTTAGAGTCTTTAAATAGTTCGTTTGGGCCAAGCTAGGTCTAACAATCTATTTCCATTACAGAACTATGCGACCGCTGTGACATATTGTAGTAGCATTAGCTACATAAAGTATGCAGAGTTGTGTTCCAACAGCAGTATGGGCGACTTCCCATCTGCAGCAGGGATTAAAGTGTTACTAAACCCAGGACCCTGCATTTACTATATCTGGACTCCCGCAGTACACAGAATATGGAAATGCAATTATTTCAGTAACTATAAACTGATAAATGCCTTTTCCTCTTCAAAAGTCCTGCTCTTTCTTGGTCCACATAATGTCACCGCTACAAAATCACTGCAGCATTTGCCCTCATACAAATCCACACTCCCACCTCACCTCCCTCACCCTCCTATTACTACTAACTTCCAGAGACATCGTCCCAAACTCTGGCCCTCCACCATCAAACTCCAACCCACAGGAGCAGCAGCCTCCCTTCTGTCTTCAGCCGCAACCCTCACTCTCTTATCTCAATTCCCCTGCTTCACACACCGGCCCCTCCCTCCTATGTGCCCTCTGGAATGCCCACTCAGTCTCTAACAAACTTCCTACTATCAATGACCTCTTCCTCTCCCACTCCCTCAACCTACTTGCTGTTACTGAAACCTGGCTCCAGGATTCCGACTCTGTCTCCTCAGCTGCACTCTCCCATGGTGGCCTTCTATGGACTCACTCGCCCAGATCCAGTGGACGAAAAGGGGCGGAGTCAGACTTCTTCTTTCCCCACAAAGCACGTTCCAGGTTCTTCCTGCCCCTCTGTCTCTGTTGCTCTGCTCTTTTGAAGTGCATTGTATTCATCTCTTTTCTCCTGTGTGTCAGAGGATTGCAGTCCTTTACCGCCCTCCAGGCCCAGTTTCACGCTTTCTTGAGGACTTTTCGGCATGGCTGCCATACTTTCTCTCCTCTGAGGTGCCTGCCATCATCCTCGGTGACTAACATCCTAGTCAATGTTAACACCTCAGCCACTTCTCAACTACTCAACCTAACTTTCTCTTTTAACCTAACACAATGGACACAATCCATCACCCACTCGAACAGCAACACCCTTGACCTTGTATTCTCCCACCTATACACTCCCTGTAACCTCTCTAACACCCCTTTTCCTCTCTCTGATCACAACTTTATCAGCTTCTCACTCTCCGTGTCTCCTACCAGCAAACCGTTACCTGTAGAAACCTTCACCACCTCAGCCCTTCTCTTCTTCACTTGCTATGGAGTGCCTCTATGATAAAATTGCACCCCTGTCCTGCCCAGACCTGGCCACATCTGCCTACAAACAACTATCTATCATCTTCCCTGGACGTCCTTGCTCTTCTCTCTACACACAGAATCAGGCCTCGCCTGTCACAACCCTGGCAAACAAATGACACCAGATGTCTCAAGACTTCTGAAAGACTTTACCCTCTACAAATCCGCTCTTCTAAAATACAACTCCGGCCTCCACGCTGCTAAGCAAACCTACTACAACACTCTCATCAAAACCCTCTCATCCAATTCTGGTCAATTCTTTTCTACCCTTAATTCCTTACTCCCCCCCCCCCCCCCCCCCCCCACTGCCTCCACCCACCAACTTACTTACTGCACAGGAGATTGCAAGTCATTTCAAAAACAAGATCGACACAATTCGTGATGAGATCTCCAGTGTCAAGCTTCCTCCTCCAACCAACATACCAGGCCCAACACCACACTCAACACTCTCCTCTTTCGACCCTGTTACCGTCAAGGAAGTTACCGAACTCCTTTCCAAGGCCCACTTCACCACCTGTCCCCTCAAGATTATTGCAGCCTCTTTCCTGCTCGATCATAAACTCTCTAACCCACATCTTCAACCTCTCACTCTCCATGGGCACCTTTTCCTCCCCCGCTCAAACATGCACTGGTTACCCCCATACGCAAAAACCCTCGCTGGACCCCACCTGTTTGAATAAATTAAGACCCATCTTCCTGCTCCTGTATGCCTCCAAGCTTCTCGAGTGCCATGTTCACAACCGTATGAACTGCTACCTCACCGACAACACCCTTCTTGATCTCCTACAGTCTGGCTTCCGCCCACAACATTCCACTGAAACTGCCCTACTAAAACTCACCAACAACCTACTAACTGCTAAAACCAATGACCATTACGCCATACTCATACTCCTAGACCAGGGGTATGCAACCTGAGAGCCGCAGGACTACAAGTTCCATCATGCCTCTGCAAGTCATAGTTGTGACTGTCAGTTTTGTAATCTTTGCAATGCCTCATGGGAAATGTAGTTCCACAACAGCTAGAGAGCCACAGGTTGCCTACCCGTCCTAGACCTTTCCGCTGCCTTTGACACAGTTGACCACCCGCTCCTCCTCAGTAAAACTCCACTCCATCGGCCTCCGTGACTCTGCTGTCTCCTGGTTCTCCTCTTACCTTTCTCAGCGCATTTTCAGTGTCACATACAACTCCTCCTCCTCTGCTCCTCTCCCTCTTTCCGCTGGGGTACCCCAAGGTTCTGTTCTTGGGCCCCTCCTTTTCTCTCTCTCTCTACACCTCCTCCCTAGGCCAATTGATAACTTCCCATGGCTTCCAATACCAAACTCCTCAAGTATCACAAATCTACTGAGGACATATCAGCATGGATGTCACACCACTACCTTAAACTCAATCTTTACAAAACCGAGCTGGTAATATTTCCTCCTCCCCGATCCCCCACTGATGACTTTACTATTACGATCAACAGCACAACCACTGGCCCTTCCCCTCATACCAGGGTGCTAGGTGTAATCCTAGACTCTGATCTCTCCTTTGGGCCCCACATCCAATCACTGGCTAAATCCTGCCGCCTCAACCTCGGGAACATTTCCAAAATCAGCCCCTTTCTGACCAATGACATCACAAAACTTATTCACGCCTTGGTTTTATCCCGCCTTGATTACTGCATCTCCCTCCTCACTGGTCTACCGTTACACAGGCTATCCCCCCCTTCAGTCTATTATGAATGCTACTGCTAGATTCATACACTCTACCAACCTGCTGCCCTTCTCTGCCAATCCCTTCATTGGCTTCCACTAACCCAACGTATAAAATTCAAAATACTAACCACAGCTTAGAAAGCCATCCACAATACTGCCTCTAGCTACATCACCAACGTCATCCGCAGAGATAGTCGAAATAGCCTTCAGTTTCCCTTCAGTACTGGCCAAATGTGTGAAAATCTAGGCCCAGAGGCATGTAAAGCCCTGTTGAAGTTGAGCTTTAGCCATGCTGAACTCTGATCCTCCCCTTCAATAAAGATCACATGATGAAGTAGTTCTCAGAAATCTACATACATTCCCAGCACTGAAGGAAGAATGAAGAATTGTATTCTTCAGGAAAAGCATTTTAAGATCTTCTATAAAACTTTATTGACCCCAGAGAGATCTGTGAACATTGCTTTATGTTACTAGTCCAGATTACATATTAAAAGAAATAAACGTCTTATACTTACCTGCTTTGTGCAATGGTATTACACAGAGCGGTCCTGATCTTCCTCTTCTGGGGTCCCCCGCCAGCACTGTCCCACTCCTTCTCTTCTGTGTTGCCCCCATAGCAAAATGCTTGCTATGGGGGGGCAGACTTGTGGGCTCGATCCTGAGCCAGGCTTTGTGAATCACACACACACCACGGCTTGGCCCTTCCTCCTTTCTAACAGCATTTGATTGACAACAGTGGGAGCCAATGGCTCCCAATGCTGTCTCAGTCTCTGTGAGTGGAGAGGGGAGAGATTAGATGCAGGTGTAAACAGTGCTGGATCAATTGAGGACTCTCAATCAGTAAGTATTTAGGGAGGTGGGGGAGGCACAGCAAGTTGTAAAACAGTTTTTACCTTAATACAGGGAATGCATTAAGGTAAAAAAAAAAGTTCTGGCTTTAGAACCACTTTCAATTATGTTTTTGCGGATAATGCAAAATTGTCCACGAACAAACAGAATAAAAAGCATTATTTACCACAAGCTCTTTCAGGGATGTCTCATTTCGGTTGCAGAGCACAAAGCTGCACACGGATGTGTCGCAGGGAATAAGATGCAAGTACTGCTTGTTTCCATGGGACATTTTGCTGATTTTCCTGAGGCTGCCATAGCAAGTAGAGGAAAGAAAGCTCAGAGAAGCTATAGACTGCGCACCTGTGAATAAGGGGAGAAAAAAGTCAATTACTTTAAGCTGCTGCCATAATTGTCTGGAAAAGGTCAAAATTATTGATGCAGGAATATTTATAGCCACAACAGCACAAAATAGGGCTGATAAAGAAGATCTGTGCAATAAAAATGTTTAGTTGAATTACCTGATCTGAATGATTGCCAGCAGGTTGAATGAGCTGCAGATTCCTTATATCTTGTATGTATCAGACAGCAAATTCTCTTCTCCGCCTATACAGTGCCAGAGTACCAGGCTCTTGCCATGGAGAGTTACACCCTCTCTTAAAGGAAAACTACACAGACATATGCAGGCTGCCACTGCTAACCTCTGATAAAATGTTACTTGCCTGGCTCTCATACTAATCAAATAGGATCAGTACAGATTGGGAAAAAGTATACGGATTAGGGGATTGGACTTCCCTCTGACCCTGCCTTGTTCAGAGTTAGTGACTCTGAAAGTTAGATCCATAAAAAGCCAAGTAATGCCAGCCATAGACGGGTTGAAAATCGGCCGATATTTCGCCCGAAAAAAAATTGGCCGATTTTCGCACTGTTAGTGGGTTAATTGGTCGGCAGTTTTTCTGTTTTTTTGCACGTTTTTTTATTGGTCATGTTGGAAAAATTTGTGGCCCATTTTGACGATCGGCAAAATCGGCCGATCGTTTTACCGATAAAAAAATCCACTCATGAGCAATGACCTGCAAGGGACAGAAGTTATGGGGTGAACTTTATGATTTAGTAGGCCGATTTTTTTTACCGTTGGTGGTAACGTCAGCCGACTGAACGACCGATTTTTTTTTTAAATCGGCCGATTTTCGACCAGTCTATGGCCTGCATAACCAACATTTGCAAGAGGAAGTATGCAATATCAGCTCCCACATTCGCTTAATTCAGGTTTCCTTAACCCCTTCACGCCTAAGGGTGAAACAAAACTAAATGCCTAAGCACAATTTTGCAACGTTGACATGTGTTAGTAAAACCGTACATATCATCACAACTACTTTGTACATCCAGGTGAAATATACCGTATTTTTTTCAGGACAAATTGGGCTTTCATTTGGTGGCAAAAGGTAATGGATATCTCCTGATTTTTTTTTTATCATCAAAGGAAAACTGGCCCAAAATAGTAAAAAAAAATAATTTTTTTTTTTATTTAGCTGTGTGTTTCTTGTTACGACCATAACCTACCACCAAAGAACAACCCAAAATAAATTCTCCAGCTCTTGACGATCGCAGCGATACCATATACAGTCAGGTCCATAAATATTGGGACATCGACACAATTCTAACATTTTTGGCTCTATACACCACCACAATGGATTTGAAATGAAATGAACAAGATGCGCTTTAACTGCAGACTGTCAGCTTTAATTTGAGTGTATTTACATAAAAATCAGGTGAACGGTGTAGGAATTGCAACAGTTTGCATATGTGCCTCCCACTTATTAAGGGACCAAAAGTAATGGGACAGAATATTAATCATAAATCAAACTTTCACTTTTTAATACTTGGTTGCAAATCCTTTGCAGTCAATTACAGCCTGAAGTCTGGAAAGCATAGACATCACCAGATTCTGGGTTTCATCCCTGGTGATGCTCTGCCAGGCCTCTCCTGCAACTGTCTTCAGTTCCTGCTTGTTCTTGGGGCATTTTCCCTTCAGTTTTGTCTTCGGCAAGTGAAATGCATGCTCAATCGGATTCAAATAAGGTGATTGACTTAGCCATTGCATAACATTCCACTTCTTTTCCTTAAAAAACTCTTTGGTTGCTTTTGCAGTATGCTTTGGGTCATTGTCCATCTGCACTGTGAAGCGGCGTCCAATGAGTTGTGAAGCATTTGACTGAATATGAGCAGATAATATTGCCCGAAACACTTCAGAATTCATCCTGCTGCTTTTGTCAGCAGTCACATCATCAATAAATACAAGAGAACCAGTTCCATTGGCAGCCATACATGCCCACGCCATGACACTACCACCACCATGCTTCACTGATGAGGTGGTATGCTTAGGATCATGAGCAGTTCCTTTCCTTCTCCATACTCTTCTCTTCCCATCACTCTGGTACAAGTTGATCTTGGCCTCATCTGTCCATAGGATGTTGTTCCAGAACTGTGAAGGCTTTTTTAGATGTCGTTTGGCAAACTCTAATCTGGCCTTCCTGTTTTTTGAGGCTCACCAATGGTTTACATCTTGTGGTGAACCCTCTGTATTCACTCTGGTGAAATATTCTCTTGATTGTTGACTTTGACACACATACACCTACCTCCTGGAGAGTGTTCTTGGTCTGGCCAACTGTTGTGAAGGGTGTTTTTCTTCACCAGGGAAAGAATTCTTCGGTCATCCACCACAGTTGTTTTCCGTGGTCTTTCGGGTCTTTTGATGTTGCTGAGCTCACGGTGCGTTCGTTCTTTTTAAGAATGTTCCAAACAGTTGTTTTGGCCATGCCTAATCTTTTTGCTATCTCTCTGATGGGTTTGTTTTGTTTTTTCAGCCTAATGATAGCTTGCTTCACTGATAGTGACAGCTCTTTGGATCTCATCTTGAGAGTTGACAGCAACAGATTCCAAATGCAAATAGCACACTTGAAATGAACTCTGGACCTTTTATCTGCCCATTGTAATTGGGATAATGAGGGAATAACACACCTGGCCATGGAACAGCTGAGAAGCCAATTGTCCCATTACTTTTGGTCCCTTAATAAGTGGGAGGCACATATGCAAACTATTGTAATTCCTACACCGTTCACCTGATTTGGATGTAAATACCCTCAAATTAAAGCTGCCAGTCTGCAGTTAAAGCACATCTTGTTCGTTTCATTTCAAATCCATTGTGGTGGTGTATAGAGCCAAAAATGTTAGAATTGTGTTGATGTCCCAATATTTATGGACCTGACTGTATGTGTATGTTATTTGTACCCGTAGTACAGCCCAGAAACAAGAGTGCGCGTTTTGTTTTTGTCTTTTTTTTTTTAACCTAAAACACACTGACACTAACACCAATTTTTTTAAAATCCTGACCTTTGACCCTGGCCTTTTGACCTTGACCCAAACACTAACCCTGGCACTGAACTAGATCAAACCTTGATCTAGGTATTTTTTTCTTTATTTTTTAATATTTATCTTTTTTTTTTTATACAAACATTTTTCGTTCTCTCTATGCCAGGAGTTAGAGAGATACAATGTCTCTCTCTCCTCCATTCATAGGGAAAAAAAAAACAAGGGGGCGGGGCTGTACAGTGACTGATCACTGTGATAGCCAGAGGCTATCACAGCAATCACGTGACCCAGAATCGGGAGTCCCGGGTCCCAATCGTTATAAAACAGGACCCGGGGCTCTCGGTGACACCACAGTCTTTGTGCTGGAAGCGCGCTGTGCGGCGCGCTCCCAGCACAAGGACATGTATGCAAATATGCGCCCCCCGGAAAAAAGCCTGTGAGGCATATTTGTGTGACGTTGGCGTCAAGCTTTTAAACGATAAAATTAAGTATATTGTTGTGTCCATACTAATAATACTGCTTAAGAGCAGGCACCACAACACACCTTTGAAAAACTGCAGACTGATTTTCCCTGTACCCCAGCTGTACACTACACACATGTTCACACTTCACCCCAACTTAAATGTAAACTTTTCCTAAAGTTTTGGATCGAGTGGAGAGGGATTAGAACACCTGTCCGATTGGTATTGCTCTTTGTGCCCCCATTAGGGAGATTCAGCCCCTCTATTTGACTTGCTTACTGTTATCACTGAAAGTAAAAGAAAATCCAAAATTTTTGGGTTGTCCCATATCTTCCAATGTGGAAACTAATTCTAGTAACCCTGATGGCAACCAGGGATTTCCCCACTTTTTGTTGTGGCTATGGGAGAGGAAGTGAAAGAAAATCTCCCAAATGGGACACAGATGGCAAAGAAAAACTTGGAAGGAGCTATAACACTCCACAGCTCTAACTAAAATGAAGAAAAACAAAAAAAAGTTTGCCTTTAGTTGTACTTTATTACTAAGGATCACCTCCCACTGTTTTAACAGTTTAATGGCACAGCCATTAGGAGGGTTTTGCATCACAGCAGACAAGATTGAAGCTCTTTACATAAACACACCCCCCCCAAGATTTAGGCTAGGTTCACACCCATGCAGGTTGCATTTGAGCTGTTTCTGCATTGCGTTTCGCAGTTGCGTTTTTTTATGCTTTTTGCGGGGTGGATTTAAAACGCAAAACGCATCAAAAACATGGCAAAAATGCAATTCATGCTTTTCTGCAGTATTTCCATTGATGTCTACAAAACCGAAAATTCTAATTTTTGCATTAAAAAAAGTCCCTGACCCTTTCCAAAACAAAACACATCAGGTGAAAACGCACAGGTGTGAACATGTCCCATAGGAAAACATGTTAAATGGAATGTACTGCGCTTCTGCAAAACACTGCAGAAAACGCTTAGGTGTGAACCTAGGGTCATTGGTTTCCTAGGTACAAAGAAATGGATTAGAGTTATCAAACTTACTTGCAGGCACAGCAAGCCTACTTCAGCTCGTGCAGACTCCACCTCCGCAACATCGCCAAAATACGCACGTTCCTAACCCCAGAAACCACTAAACAGCTCATCCACTCCCTCATCATATCACGACTCGACTACTGCAACTCCCTCCTCACTGGCCTGCCTCGCCGCTGGCTATCCCAGCTTCAGTCGATCCTGAATACGGCTGCCAGACTCATTCACCTTTCCAACCGCTCCATCTCCGCCACCCCCCTCTGCCAATCCCTCCACTGGCTTCCGATTGCGCAACGGATCAAATTCAAAATCCTAACACTGCCGTACAAAGCCGTCCACCATACTGCCCCGAACTACATCACCGACCTAATATCCAAGTACCGCCCAGCACGCACACTCCGCTCCTCACAAGACCTCCTTCTCTCTAGTTCCCTGGTCTCCTCCTCCCATGCCCGCCTCCAGGACTTCTCCAGGGTGTCACCCATCCTCTGGAACTCCCTGCCCCAACCCATCAGATTATCACCTACTCTCCTCTCCTTTAGGCGCACCCTGAAAACCCATCTCTTCAGGGAAGCCTACCCCACCCCCTGCTAACCTGCCGACCTCCTCCACTCTTCCTACCACTCCATCCCCCACAGCTATCTCCTCCTGTGCCACCATCCCCTCCCTCCTAGATTGTAAGCTCAAAGAGCAGGGCCCTCAATCCCCTCATGTTTGGCATTGTATTGGTTTTGTTCTGTCACATGTTCTGTCCCCCTTTGTAATGTACAGCGCTGAGCGAACTATTGGCGCTTTATAAATACTGTATAATAATAATAATAATTTTACATACTGTATATTGTTAGCTTGGAGACACTGATGCACTTCAAAATTCTTTAGGCCCCATTCACGCCTGGGTGCATTGCGATGCATTAAATTGTTACTAAACCTACAACAGTAAAATCAGTATGTATATGCAGTAAAGCATGCTTGATATACTCATTGTGGAACCCAAGGGGTTAATCCTCTGCATTGTGTAAAAATACTGCTTGATCTTGACTTCCCTGATCCTCCCCTTTTTCAGGGTCTCCCTTTTATCTCCTGATAAGACATATTGTGTTGAGACACTCTGCACATGCTCAGCTTGGTGTGTATTGCTAGAATTTTTTTTTTTTTTATTTTCTTGGGAGAGTGCATGTGATCAGTACAGGGCCAATCAGCAGTGTTCAGACAGAGGTCAGGGGTTGTGCATCCTCCTAGTGCAGAAAGAAAACTCCTCCTATAAGCTGTAACCAGTGCTCAGCTGAACACTGATAGAAGCCACAAGACTGCTCTAACTGCTGATGAGAAAAAGGTATTTAGCAGTTTATATTTACTAAAGTAATTGCATTTCCATGTAGTGTGTACTGTGGGAGGCCAGATATAGTGAATGCAGAGTCCTGGGCATAACAACACTTTAATGCATGCACATAATGGGGGTTATTTACTAAAACTGCATGTTGCAAAATCTGGTGCAGCTCTGCACAGAAATCAATCAGCTTCCAGGTTATATTGTCAAAATGTAACTGAACAAGCAGACGTTAGAAGCGGATGGCTACCATGCACAGCTGCACCACCTGTAGTAAATCTCCCCCCAGTGTGCGCTGCATTTAGGCGGCCCATTTATTTTTAATCAGCTGACAACGCACATGAAACTAGACATGCCCCATCTTTTTCTGATGCACTGCATCACAATACATAGACAGTCTGCATCTGTATGTTGGGGTGCGTTAAAACATACATGCAGTACACACTGGTAGGATGCACTAGTGTGACATTGAAAATGAATGGCACTGCAATGCTGATTATGCATTACTCTGCATTGAAGTAACACTTGCATGACAGATCGCATAATTGTAAAACTGTACGAGGTTGCACTTGATGGATATCAGACTTTTATTTAGCTTTATCTCTATAACTGCTAGTACTGCTTTCTATAACACTTCAAGTGCACAGTTCGGTCAACTGACATTAGCCTGAGTGTTTTTACTGCATCAAGTACAATGTGGGTTCATAATATATCCTGGAGTTCAGCATTAACTAAAACTAGGAAAATAAGGTATCATGTACAAAAGGCCACATCAAAATGTTACAGCAACAGCTAAAAATGTATACAAAAGTTGTTTGCTTTGTATGCAAAAAAAAAAGTCTAATGCAGAAATCAAGATAATATACATTTCATTAGAATGATTATTTTGTGTGTAGGATTAAATATTACATTTATATGTGAACATCATTTCTCCACGCAAAACAAAATTGAACAAGTGTTTCAATTTTAAAAAGTTCCATTGTGACTACATTCTCCTATGTATTTTTTTTTTTTACCTGTCATCCGACTTAGTGGTTCCATAAGAGCTGCTCCCAATCTTTCTACGGCAAGGATCTTCTGCTCTTTTAAATATTGTTTCAGAGATGGATGAATAACTTTTTGACAGACAAGTACATGAACATGGTCATCCACTAACTGTTTGCCCAAGGCCATCAACTGTTCCAGCATGACTTGTTCAGGGTCTACACTATCCACCACATCAACAGAGCCATCCCCTGTATCACTAAAATCTCCACACATTGAGACTGAAAACAAGGCCAATGTAATGTTTGTAGGGGGTAAGTCTGACAACGTTAGGGTTCGGCTCCAGCTGCTAGCTGGCATTTCGATGAGGACACCAGGAACTAAGGTAGACTTCATTACACTCAGACCTTCGACGGGGACCATCACGGTCCTTCCTAATACCATATTTGATAGGCTCTCCATAGGAACTTTGAAGAGAAAGGTTTTGACAACTAACATGGTAATGTAATCGACTTCTTTTATGGTAAGCATGCAAGCAGGTTTACTGTGAAGCACAGATCTTGTTAGATCAAATAATGAGGCATTACAGCTAAAATCTACCTTTAGTTTGCATGCACACTCCTCAGATGTCAGATAATTCAAACACATGTCCAAAATCCTTCTGTTTATAGCTATTACTTTGTGAGGGGACACCGGTAAATTCAGGCATCTGTCAATGAGGTTACAGCAAAGAATTACTGCAAAGAGTCCACCATCATTGAAGCGAGATACATAATTACGGACAGAGGACACAAGCAACTGTAAGACTGGATGGCTAATAGACAAGCCGCCAAGTAAGGCAGAGGACTGTGATGTTGTAATAACATAACCTCCACTACCATTATGGACCTGTTTGAGCCTACCAGTTGGTCCATAGCATGATGCTGCAATCATCTGTAGGACATTCAGTGGTTCTCTTAGTGAAGCACTGGTTACGGGTCCGGTTGTACACTGCGATGGTTTTTTCATTTCAGCTCTTGCCATGATTAAACCTGAGAGTTCAGATTCTATTTCCAAGAGACAACTCGGGCTCTGGTTTTATCATTTAAAACTGATAATTTATTTATCTGATGTGAGGATGGGCAAAATGCATATTATCACACAACTGCAGATCAGTGAGTGTCAACAACAGAACTGAAAATGGTGTTTGGGATGAGAGCTCCTGTGGTGGAACCAAGAAAAGTAAATCATCTAGTGGGCTCAGTTGCCGTTCTTACTGTCCTTTATAACCATTGTTTCCCGGGCAGAGTATTTTGCCACCTTCTGAATAAAATATGTCCCAAAATGAATGCCTGCAAAAGATAATCCTGCAATCCAGAGCCAGTTCCTCCTTAAGAATGATTTAGCTTTCATGGTTCCTTGTTCAGCAATAAGAGAGAGAGAGATCCAAAGAGTAACCTAGAAAAACAAAGAGGAGTAATTACAATTAAATTAGGTTTAATACATTATAACATCACAGCAAAATAAAATAAACTTAAAGCTGAATTCCATGAAAAGGAAAAAATCCTCCCTTACGGCACCACAAGGATTAAATACTTAAGTCTAGGGGGCCTCAAAAAACAGTTTTACTTACTCGATTATTCACTCCAGACATCTCCCTCCAGGCTGTAAGACTGGTCCTACAGTCTCTTGATCCCCACACTCTGGCAGTCACAGGTTTTCTGACTTCTTCAAACGAGTATGCCATAAGAATAGTCAACTGCCAGAGCGTAGGGGGAAAAAAAAAAAGAGGAGCATGCCAGCTGATGAGTAAGAAGAGGACTGGGCAAGTAAGACAGCTTTTTGTGGCCCCCTAGACTTCAATGAACATTTAACCCTTGCAGGGCAGGGGCAGCCCCACGCGGGGAAAGTATTTTTTCCTGTTCCTGGAGATGGGCTTTAAATTATGGAGAAATTAATCCAGAAAAACTTCATGAAAAAGGGATGCAAAAGAGGTGCCAAGTTGCAAAGCCAGCCCTATGGTGAGGACAGATTTGGAGCTATATTTATGATAAGTATAGGAAAAAGAATTCAAACCTGACACTTCAGCACTCAGAAAATGGTAGAGGCACTCAACGTATAAACCAATTTGTAATTTCGTAACCCGGACTAGAAAGAAGTGGCGGTGCGGCCCTCCTCAGATCAGGGAAATCCTACACTGCACAAAACACAAAAACAGAGAGGGCGCAAACACCTAGCGCATACCTTTTGAATCTTTATTAAAGGATTGAAAAAGACAAATGTTATACTCAAAAGCTAAGAGAGCTAAAGACATGTGAATGCATAAAGCACACAATACAAGAGTCCGCACTCCACCTCCAACTGGAAACAAGATGACAAACACACCTGACGTAGTTCGAGGATCCAAACCATAACTCTGAGGAAGGGGACAGGTTTTTCATCCTGTCTGCAGTTACATTGTGTGTTTTATGCATTTACATGCCTTTAGCTCACTTAGCTTGTGAGTACAACATTTGTCTTTTCAATCCTTTAATAAAGTGTCTGTGCTAGGCATCGTGCCCTCTATTTTTGTGTTCTGTATTTATGATAACTTTAACACAGATCATACTGAGTGATAGCATTGAGTTCTTATGGGAATATGTAGTTTTGTTAATGTTTTTTAGATATGCTTGTAAAAGATCAGTCTCTCAGTCATAGAAAGGTGTACATGTGTCGGTCTGTAGGTTTGTAAAAGGTTGATTACCTTAATGCATTCTATGCATTAAGGTAAAAATGCCTTCTGGGTGCAGCTCCCTTCCAAGCCCCCCCCTCCCTATATTTACCTGTGCCTCATCTCGATCAAGCGATGTGCTTGAGAGTCACAGCTTCCATGAGTCTCTCTCTCTCTCCTCATTGGCTCCTGATGCTGTCACTCACAGCCAGTAAGCCAATGATGAGAAAGCGGGGGGCAGGGCCGAGCTGTGCATGGACAACGTCCATTCACAGGAGCATGGCACGGGAGTGAGACTACTCGAGTGCCACCATAGCAAGAGGCTTGCTATTGGGGCGCTTGGCTGGAGGAGAAGCCAGGCCCGCCAGCAGGGGACCCAAAAAGAAGAGGATCTGGGCTGCTCTACGCAAAACCCTTGCACAAGCAGGTAAGTATGGCATGCTTGTTGTTTTTTTTAATACAACCTTTAGAATCACTTTAAGTTGGTATGATTTTCCCATTACATTCGTTGGCTCTGCTCCTAGCTTTGCAGTGCTGCACTATAAACAAGGGTTGTACTTTACTACTTCTGCAATCCAAGTCAATGAGTCAGCTGACTGACTGAAAACAATGCACTCCTGGTGTGGCTGATAACTTATATGAATTGGGTAAAAGGTGGCTGAGACAAGGTCTTACTTTAAAGGGGCATATCTGGAAATCTCTATATTTAAAGGAAACCTGTACCTGAGAGTTTACTAATGGCAGCCTACATCATGTCTCAGCAAAGGTTTCCTTTAATATTAAAACATGAAAGAGAAAACATGTGACAACCTGAAGTCACATCAAACTTAGTTTAAATAAACATGATAATATTAAGTAGACGGACATCAGAGGCTAGATGATTCTTTATTCTCAGAATCCCTGGACATACAAATCATCTGAATGGAATAACGTCTCATTATTATGTGGATTAAGAAAATGTTTTCACAGTACAGGATATAAATTGGTATATCACATTTCCATCTTTATTTTGCAAAGCTATTGATGGGGCAGTGATTGCACTAGATATAAAGATGGAGGAAATGCAAATGTAGTTTGTGCTAACATGGACGTGGATAGTTACTTTTGTTCAACCGCCTCCCGCCCGCCATATAAGGTAATGACGGGCGCAAGGCGGTTCTGTCGTTCTGGGAGGACGTCATATGACGTCCTCCCACTCTAACCACGCATGCGCGGCTCCGTGAGCGTGCAGCATGGCGATTGATAAACGATCAACGGGAAGAGTCGAAGATGTCGGCTCGATCATGTGATCAGCTGTGTCCAATCACAGCTGATCGCATGTAAATAGGGAAATGCCGGTTATCGGCATTTCTCTCCTCTCCTCCTGACGCTGACAGCTCGAGAGGAGAGCCGGTAATCGGCATTCCTCGGAGGGGATATGTACACTGATCATCAGGGCACTGATGATCAGTGTAGCCCCAGCAGTGCCACCTGTCAGTGCCCACTCAATGTCAGCTGTCATTGCCCATCAATGCCACCTGCCAGTGCCCATCAGTGCACATCAATGCCACATATCATTGCCCATCTGAGCTGCCTTTCAGTGTCACCTATCAGTGCCACCTATCAATGCCAGTCAATACAACCTATCAGTACTGCCAATCAGTGCCACCTATCAGTGCCTCAACAGTGCTAACACCTAACAGTGCCACCTAACAGTGCCATATATGAGTGCTGCCTTTCAGTGCCCATCAGTGATGCCTGTCAATGCCCATCAGTGCCACCTACTAGTGCCTCCTCATCAGTGCCGCCTATCAGTGCCCATCACTACAGCCTCATTAGCGCACATCAGTGAAGGAGAAAAATCACTTATTTACAAAATTTTATAATAAAAACTAAAAAAAACTTTTTATTTTTTAAAAATTTTCAGTTGTTTTCGGTTTGTTTAGCAAAAAATAAAAAACCCAGAGGTGATTAAATACCACCAAAAGAAAGCTCTGTCTCAAAAAAATGATAAAAATTGCAAATGGGGTACAGTGTTGCATGACCGCGCAATTGTCATTCAAAGTGCAACAGCGCTGAAATCTGAAAACTGGCCTGGGCAGAAAGGGGTAGGTACAGAGCTGAAATACATACATGGGCATAGTTTTACCTGCCAAAGGACTGGTATTACTGTTCAGCCAGAGTTATGATTCATAAATTCCTGCCAGGCAGAATAGCCAGTTCCTTGAGCTCTACTACAGCAGCAATTGAGTTTTGTCATACACAAACCTCCAATATGATAGGAGCAACAGCTCCTTTTTTTTTTTTTTTTCCTATTTCCACAGATCTTTCAAGATTGGGAAATCTCACAAGATTTCAGGAAAGAGCACATAATTTTTCTTTCATGATATCTCGCAGATTAACTACGAGAGCATCTTGGAAGGCACTGGTGACGCAGCCTTCCCAGGAGGCAGCTGGGACACCCTGGCTATGTCACCAGTGTCTCAGGAGAGGCAGAAGTCAAAGGCTATCTCCATCCTTAGTACCATGTTACATCTGTATTTAGGGTGTAACATATAACATGTTGCTAAACGCCCCAAACCGTCACCCCCCTAATTACCCCCACAGTTGATGTCTCAATTAAACGGACAGGCGGACTTGTAGTTCTCAATGGACTACAAGTGAACTGATCAGTGCACTTGCAGTCCATCGACACTTTCTGCAGCTCAGTAACAAAGCCCATATAGAGACATGGGCAGGGTAGTGTACAAAGTGTCTGCAGGAGCCTGACATTGCACCCGCAATCCACTGAATTTGCAGGTTCTTCTGTAAACAGATAAAGTAAATGCACATTTTTTAATCTGCAAAAACATGCATTAATTTTTTTTTCTTAAAGTCGACCTTAGCTTTTAAAGTGGTAGTAAACTCTTATTATACACTTGTACCTACATGTATGCTTATAATAACTTTAAGCTGTTTAGAAGATATTCACATCGACTGCCAATGATGTGAACGGCACATGCACAGTAGCTCTGCATTAAGGGCACACGGAGTGTGGTGTGAATGCAGACAGCACTGTTTGTGATTGTAACTCCTTTGTACATGCACAGAAGTGACATCATCTCAGCCCGGCCATTCAAACAGCCAGAGTGTGTGAACCCAGAAGGAAGACCGGGAAGACAGCAGTGCCGGGAGTGGTGACATCGTATTGTTAGAGGGCTGTGTTTGACAGCAAAGTCTGCCATAATGTGCTGCTATGCGGTGCTAACCCTATAACAATACAATCTCTGAACCTAACCTTTAAAGTGGTTTTATAGGCAGAAGGATTTTTTACCTTACTGCATTGTAAAAACCTTCTGGGTGCAGCTCCACCTTTCAAACCCCCCTAATACATATCTTAGCCCCATCTTGATCCAGCGATGTCCATGAGAGCAGCATCCCTCTTGGGTCTCTCTCTCCTCTTTGGCTCCTGCCAATCAGAGTCAGCGAGCCAATGAGAAGACAGCAGGGCTGACCTGCGCTGTGTGTGTGAATGGACAATGTCTATTCACTTGAGCGCAGCTCAGGAGCGAGCCTGCTTGAGTGCCCCATAGAAAGACTTGCTATTGGGGGCATTCGTCGGGGGGGGGGGGGGGGGGGGAGCCTGGACTGCCAATGGGGTACACAAAAAGAAGAGGATCGGGGCTGTTCTATGCAAAACCACTGCACAGAGCAGGTAAATACAACATGTATAACAAGTTATTTAAAAAAACAAAACAAAAAACATTTAGAATCACTTTAAATTTAACCCTGAAACCTAAAATGTAACTTCTTAATGAACATAAAAATACTTTTTTTTAAACCCTGATGCCCAACCTGCGATCCTTTGACTCTCAATAAGGTACCCCTGGCCCCAGCAGCTAATAGTCATTGCTTTTCCTGCCCTAGTGCATACTCAGTTCTGATAGGTCTGTGACAGAACAATATGTGGAGAAGTGAACCTGGACTGCGGCTCTTTATTATGTTGCCTATGATGAGGGGAAAGCCTGGGGATGCCTCTTCTTACACTATGCTGGGTTCTGTACGAATGAGATCAAGGAAGGGCACTCTGTATCACAACACTGTACATTGCCAGAACCCTTAGGGTTTTCTCACTCCTCCGACCCTTTCTTTGTAAATGAAGTATTCAGGAAAATTCTAGGGGAAAGCACAAGATCAACTTGTAATGGCGGATTCAAGTTGGGTTGGTTCAGAAATCAGAATCATGCTGGCACAGTCAGAAGCTAGAGGGTAACTATCAGATGACTGTATCACTCAATGCGAAGTTAGTTTGTGTCTTTTACATTTCTAATGTAATGCACACTTACCTAAATCACCTTAAGTTGATCGTTAGTGTTCTTTGGTATCTCTGTTTTTCATTGCAAAAAATCGGATAGCAGGTCGTTCCCTGGAATCTCCCGAAGGATTTAAGACTGGGTTTGACTGCAAGCGAAACCAGCCCCAGTGCATTAGTCCAACACCTGCTCCCATTACAATCAAAACTTTGTAGTTCTTCCACATTGACTTTATTCCCATTACTTTGCACCAATCTATACAAAAGAGAAATAATAGCAAAATGCAACATTGACTGGATAAAGAGCTGCAAGAAGGCAAGAGCCCAAAACTTGGGTGAGGCGAGTCATAGGATGTGCATACTTACCTCTGTATTCTAATCCAGAGATCAGGTGGCATTCTGTAACCCTATGTGCCTCTCTACCACTGGCTGCTAGGCATTTCCTCATCTATGAGGACAAAGACTAAATTTGGTTGTCTGCAAAGAGGGTCACAGTACACTGGGTCTTTGCAAATGAAGATTCATAGAGAGAAGTGTAAACATGACTCACCTCACCTTGTCCAGGAAAACCTGGGTGTTGGAGTTCTTATTTAAAACATTTTAGAAACATGAGCATACATGAATTAGTAGGTGGAGGAGAAAGGAATGATCTTATGAAATCTCAACAAAAACCTCATGCAATATTTAGTTCTGCAGAGCAGCGTTTTAGTGCAACACAGAATTCACCTATTGGAGCAAAGTGATTCTAAAAATACAAATTAAAAAGCAACAGCAGCTCGACTGCTCTTAACCACCTCCCGACCGGCCGTTGCATATAAACGGCCGGACAGTGGCAGTGCAGGGTCGGGTGGACGTTTATGAACGGCCTCCCCGCACCCTGCTTGTGCGCGCTCTCTGGGAGCGCGCAGCACCGCGATCCGGTGCCCACTGTGTCCTCTGGACACAGTGAAACACCGATCGGACGGGACCTCTGTACGAGGTCCCGATCATGTGATCACTGATTGGCCAATCAGTGATCACATGCAAAGTAGTAAGCAAGATGTCACTTGTGACATCATTGCTTACTACGTGTGAAATCTGTGAATGATCACAGAGGTCACATGGTACAAGGCTATTCACAACAGCCTTGTACCATGTGACAAGGTGTGACCAATCACAGCTCACTCAGTACTTCTCAATGAGTGCAGGAATGCACACAGAGAGAAAGAGAAAAAATGATTGCTTTTACATCCTATATGGGTGTAAAAACAATCAGTGTAAAAAAAAAAAAAAATCTTCATCACCCCCCACAAGTAGTACAGTGTCACCATGGTGACACTGTACTGCTAGGGTGACAGTATGTAAAAAAATAAATAAAAAATAATAATATAAAAAAATAAAATAAAAATGTAAAAAAAAATGTTTAAAAATTATAATTTTTGGTTATAAACTAATTTGCTTTTGTTTTTTTTTTACTAAAAAGATAACGGAATAAATTTTGGCAAATATTTATGATGAAATATTATTTATTTGCAAAATTTTATAAAAAAAAAACACTTTTTTTCTAAATTTTTGGACTTTTTCATTTACATAGCAAAAAAAAATAAAAATCCCAGCGGTGAATAAATACCACCAAAATAAAGCTTTATCTGTCTCAAAAAAATGGTAAAAAATTAATTTGGGTACAGTGTTGCATGACTGCGCAATTGTCATTCAAAGTGTGATAGCGCTGAAAGCTGAAAATTGCCCTGGTCAGGAAGGGGGTAAAAGTGTCCGGTCTGGAAGTGGCTAAAAGCAGCAGGAGGGGAAGTCCTCCCTCCTTTCCCCGCCAACTTCCGCTGACTCTTTCAGTCTCTCCCATCCAACCAGGACACCAGAGCCAAACCTGCACGCTGGGCGGACAGCCGAACAAAACCAGGATTGGCTTTGATCACCTGTCAGCTATAGTAACCCAGAAGTGATGACTTGACATCGCTTTGGTTTACGTGGAACTAAATGGCTCCATTTAAAAAAATTTAAAGCATTCAAAAACACTGATCTTGGTGTTTTGAATAATTTTAAGTGCAGAGGAGGGATTTGGGGTCTTATGACACCACGGATCCCTCTATAAAGAGCACCTGTCATATGCCTATTGCTATCACAAGGGATGTTTACATTCCTTGTGACAGCAATTTAGGTGATTACAATTTTAAAAAGAAACAGTGTAAAAAAAAATAAAAAATAAAATACGAAAAATATAAACGTGCACCCCCCGTGCACAAATTCTAACTCACGCATCTGTCCCGAGCGCAAGCAAACAGCGATCGTCCCACACGGGGAGGTATCACCACGGTTGTCAGATCAAGGGCAGTAATTCCTGTGCTAGAACTCCTCTGTAGATCTAAAGCGGAAAGTTGTAAAGGCTTTTAAAGCGTCACCTATGGATAATAAAATGTTTGTCATTGTTGC